ATAAATAATAGCATTAAATAAAGTCACTAATTTTTGTTCAAAAAAATTAAATCGCAAATATTTGAAGTGTGTGTGTATGTGTACGTCTCGACATTTTTAAACAAAAAGTTACATAACAACATTGTCATAGACTGGATTTGGATTTAACGCATTTTGTTTACTCGAATGTTCACATTCATTTAGTACCCTGGATTGATCGATTATCTAGTCATAAAGTAAGATTTTTCTACAATCAACACTGAAAGTTTTTATTAACTATAAAGCTGACGACTCTAGGGATGACCAATGAAAAATACCATTTGATCGCAATATAATTTTTAATACGAAAGTAAGAATGTTGTAATCTATGTGTAGTTTTTAGCATGAACATTAAAATAGTTACCGTCGTAAAATCAGATTACAGTTTTGAGCTAGGGCTAGTAACTAGGATTAGGAGATAAGGGTTTTGGTGGCAGAATACTTCTAAACCTCAATGAAATGTACTTATGCAAATAGTTATTTGATTTCGAATGTCCCGAACTTTGAAGTGATCATAAATCATCTTGAATTGTTATCTGCATTTTGATTCTATACAAATGAACGGAAAACAAATAATGTATTCAGTTGTTATTATCTTTTCCACAAAAGGTTAATCATTTTCCAAATGTCATTTTTAGAATCGTTCAAGTCTAAACCTGCTTTTTAGTATAACCATTTTGATCAATTTTAAACGTCGTAGTAACGACATATTTGGGTCAGAACATTGAATTAGGATGACCTTGAGAGATTACCAAGTTGAACCTTATAAACATTAGTAGTTCTATAGAAAACTCATAATCACCTACAAGATCTTTGTTAACAAGTCTGCTTAAAAGTTTACCAGATGGTGTTATATGATAACAATTTGAGGAACTAATGTCCAGAAATCAACATTGGTGTTTTTGAATTTCATACGGTAATCCGAGAGATTCTGTCTTAAGTCTGAATGTTGAATCAGCAGGTGATTAAAAATACATGTATTTATTATCATTTGATAATCTTTATATGAAAATGTAATCAGTCAAGGCAATTTGAGTCAATAATCACAATGAAATGAAATAGATTACGTCACTACACATAATAGACAAAAGTACAAGTTGATAGTAGGTAGGTCCTGGGTTCGAATCCTGCATGGTGCAAGAATCATGGATGCGCACTGCTGATGAGCCCCATACCAGGACGAAACGGCCGTCCAGAGCTTCTAGGTTTCTAATGGTGGTCAAACATTGATCGATTCATGGTTTCAATAATGTGTAACTGAACAATCTTCACAACCTCGTAATGCATCATTTAAATGTCAATTTAAAACTTTTCGTTCAATTTAAGATTTACTAGCTGGGTTAATTCAAGTCTATGAATTACGACACTCAAGAAATGTTCGTGAAGCTGATTATTAAAGATATCTGCCCTCATATAGGAATGGTTAGTTTGTTACTCAAGTATATTCCGAACTCCATGTTTGTCTGTCATATTGACTAGATCTCAGTTTATTGAAATATTCACGAAACTATTTCGATATTGACATTATTCATAAATACAGTTGTTAGTAGGAATATGTAAAAGACACATGAAATCAGACTTTACATTTTTCGTAAACTATGTTGCCAGTAATACCGATTGATTCCATAAAGCAAGTTTGAAATAATAATTAACCTCCAAAGAACTTCAGTTAAATTTAAATACGATTTCTGTACAATCTTTCTAAACAAATGGCAATAACAACTGATTTATTTAATCGTTTTGATCAACAGTAAAAGTTCAAATATTGATAAAGATTATTATTCGATATACATAAATCACCTGTTGCATAACAGTAGTTCACTGAATATATCTTCGATATTTAAAGTCACTAATCAATAATAAAACATGTTGCTTCCGAATATTAAACATCTTCATATTGTTTAAATCTGTAAGTTAAGTGATTATTTATTGATTTTTATCACTCAACATCGTTTGCCGATAAAACCAATATGAAAGTTTAGTAGAAGACCAAATCAACAGAACAAAACTTTCTAAACTGAACTCATTTACAATTAAATGTAAACAATTTAAGATAAATAACTTTGCCACAAAGTTCCTTACTTTCATATTTGACCGTTTATCTCGGGATTAATAGGTTGTGTTAGTTATCCCTAAAAATTTCTGATCAGTTTCACTTAATTTTTTACAAGATGATTTTAATATGAACCATGGTTGACTGAAGTCTAAATCAGGTTACAGCTGAAGTCCGCTTTGTTTTTACCATTTTTGCCATATGATCTGTAGGGACGTAATTATGATTACACACTACTGGGGGGTTCTAAAGTAAGATTAAACAGATATTAAGTGTTCACTGTTGTACAATGATTTCACTGGTTGTAGGGATGGAGAAATAATACTGAATCTTAGCCAAATTATCTTCCATACTGAATAAATCCCTAACTTGGAAAACTGACCCTTGAACACTGAATAGTTGATTTCTACTCTTTAAAGTCATTCAAGAATAATGCTGACAAATCAGTTGGTTGCGCAAAGCTGGAAGATTAATAGATTTGATTGTAGTCTATCAGCTTCTCTGAAACTTAAAACTGTACTCTTGAATATAACTACCTGGTAGGGATTAATTTTAGAATATACTAAAGCGACAGGCCACTAGGATGCGGTGCACCTAGGTTAGGTGTTGTAGTATAATGTAGCTTCAACATAAGACTACGTAAGCTAAGCAGTTATATCATTCGATTCAACCCTGGTGGATTGCGACTATTAATTGAACAAGTTAAGTAAGCTAATAATATCTATTTGAGCCTAAATCTACACTCTACCATCAGTTCGTGACTAAAATGATTTTCAGCGTATACAAAAATCTGCAAAAAAACTGCCTATTCAAGGGTAGAAATTGATGGAATATTTTTTTCAGTTTAAACTCTATTTGTTCGTTTTTAAATCTAGCGGTTGGGATACAGTCATTATCTTTCTTAAAATTTAAACAAAGTACAGAGATTAAGAAAAAATTTGTATCAAAACAGTTTCACATGATAGAAGCTAAACTAAACAGATGTTACTTAGTAAAGTGTTTTCTTTCGTTTACAACTCAGTAGTTAGTTTCTTTCCTTTGTAAAAGAAATTCTCAACTCACAACAACATTTGTATTGAAGACGTAATTTTTTTTTTAATATTAAAGCATCATCTAGCAGTTTTGTGCGCTTTAAGAGCAACGTTTTCTGAAACAAGAATTTGTTATTTTTATATGTTAAAATATTTGTTGATCAATTCAGTGTATGGAAATTATTTGCACATTCGTATTTGTGCTTCTTGCTCAGAGAATTTGTTGATATACCAAAGGGAACTATAAGTTAAAAGCCTTACTTAAGCCGATTTTCAGTTACTAAATATTATCTGAAATTATGTGAATATTAAACTTTTTACTGGCTAAATTAAAGTCATTTTAAATGTATCGCTATTTGAACAAAATGATAAATGATTAAATTGTGAACAAGGGACAGACTTATTTATGAACTTCTCTAGTCAATACAATAGGTAGATATGTCTTATATCCGGAGGAAGATGAAAGAAATGATGATTCCTAGAAGTAAATTATGGATTATAATTATTATCATATACATTCTCACAGTATAATTACTGAATAACAAGATTATTACATATTTGTACAACTTTTTCACAAGCGCTCGATTGATCCACTAACTAATTTTGTATGATTTACTATTCCTAACCTATTGCAGGTTTATCATTCACGAACTCTCCTATTCACGGCCACTTTCGGCTTGTTCATGTACAAATGTATTTTCTCATTCTGTGATACAATGTGGTCGGGTGTGTTCGGCATTTAACTATACCTGCTAGAGGTACAGAGAATACTGTGGAGTCTGATTACAGGCTTCTGGAGGCAAGGTAGAAAGAAAGAAGCTATCGAGTTGTGGATCAATAAGGATTTAGTGACTCAAGGCTTCTGGTGCTAAACGCAGTTCTGATTGGTGTTTTCTGTTTATCACGTTATATTGGTCTACGGTTTGGAACACAACGATATATCACCTTATTTGATATCAATAAAAAAAACAGTAGACACATTCCACTTTTTAATCTACATTTTCATTACCTTCCCGCTGTAAACAGTTGATTATATAATTGTATGCTTTATTTTCTCAGAAAATAGGCAGCAGCTGGAAACTCCTTAGTAAGCCTGGACAAATTAAGTGTTTAAGTCATTTGGTGTAATTTAAGTGTTGAACGTAACTAGTCATATGAGAAAAAGATGATGGGTTGATGTTAACTCTTAAGTTGAAATTTTCCAGACAGGTTGAACAGTAGTACGTGTGAAGTTTATCATAAATAGTTATTTAATTTTAAAAATATGTATCAGATAATATCCTAATTAATTAAAATGGTTTACAGAATTATCAATAGATTTGACAGATGTTTCACTGCTGTAGAACATTCACATTCACTTCATGATGACAAACTTGAGCTTACAACTTCATTGTCAGTTCCAATTATCGAACGAGACATTATTTCACTCAAAGATCACTGTTCAGAATATAACTATTGTGAGTTACTTTGAAGAGATTTACTAAAAATGTCCATAAGATTTTAGATTTAAGTAATTCTAAATATCCCAGACTTTAACTAGATTTTCAGTAAATTAGTTTCAGTTTTTCTCCTGAATGTCAATAATTCGCCTTCTTCTTTGTCTCTTTGTACAAATAACTCCCTATATTGGTCTCAATTAGTATTTTGTTATTTAAAAAAACTTGTGCATTATTTTCATTGATTGGATTTATATTATGTTCACCTTATAAACTAGCCAAAAAGCCTGAACTACTTCAATATATTTTTATTCTGTGTATGCAATTAAAACTCACACTGTACACGTGATATACGATAAATCACTTCTTACCAATCAGAACACAAATGAAACAGTTATTGATTTTTTCTAATCTAAGGCAATTTATATATAAACTACAACTTCACACATAAATAAATCACCAAATGCTTCGATGTTTTTAATGAATAAATTAATTGAAGTTCGTCAATATTATTTTATCAGCAACATAATATTTGTTTCAAGTATCGGCTGTTTTATACTGTGAATATTTTCCTGAATAGTAGTTATACAAATTAAACACAAGAAACAACAATGAGAAAAGAAGAAATTAATGGTAAGTTGTAGTATAAGTAATTTGTTGTGAATGAACAACTTTTCTTTATATGTTATCTTCATCAATATCTATACGTATATGATAAACATTTCGGAGATAATTTAAATTTTCACTGTAATTCATATTAGTTATCAGTTGCACAGATTATGGTTAAGGGTTCAAATAATTCAACATTCTGAGATCAATCCGATAAATGAAGCTGTTAATCTAACTCACGAGTGGGTTTTGCTGGGCATATGATCGGTTAGATTTTAGACAGTGTTATTGTGTTTGAATTATGATTCGCTGTTAAATTAACTCACTTGATTCATACTTCACTTGACTGGATTTGTAGCTACAAAACCCAAATAGATATCATCGTTTTCTAACCACCAATGTTACTTTGTTGTTCTTAAATATCTGCCTTAGTTGTCCAAAACTTGTTGCAGTGATAATGTTTTTACACAGTCAATTAGTGTTATTGTTGTAAGAAAAAATTGTACCATTGGAGTTAATAATTAAAAATTTCACAGTAATTGTAATGTGTAATTTACTATTTAAATAAGGTTATGTCTGCGTGTTTAACTCAACCGGTAAAATCATCACAATATATTTTAACTAAACTTAAGGATTCACCACCGAAAATTTTTCAGCTAAACAGAGATCATAAAAATAAGCGTATTGTTTTTTTGTGTATAGGAACTATTTTATGTTATTTTGTTAAAAATAGTGTAAAAACATAATTTGACAGTTAGAAGATATAACTTATGTTCTAAAATATCAACTAGCGAGAATAATCTTCTTGAAAACTGTAGAACAATTTCTAGGTGCTTGGTAGCCAAAGACAGAGTCCATAAATAATTACGCAAACGTTCCTGTTGTGAACCCTGAAGGTTCTCGGTTTTGATCTTGAAGGTTAGGAGTTATGGGTGCAGTCTATTGAAGAGCAACATACTAAAACAGAAAATCGATTCCAATTTCATCCATCCATTTAAAATTAATCCGTAATCTAAACTATATTCAAATCAATATGTAGACATAGCTTTAAATCATTAACTTCTGGATCAGTTTAGTGCAGTAGACCATAATAATGTCAGGAAGAGAGTAAACATTCTATTTCAAATGTAATACATCATCATACTCATATCAATAGCCGGAATGAAATTAGATTCGAAGCTGAGATTAAGTGATCAGTAGTTAGGTTGCAGATTCGAAGTCCTCTTTATCTACTTCGATTCGGACGACCGGATAGTATCATTAACCTTCGTATTTAGAATGTGGCTCAAAGTCAAGTACACTAACCTATTTCTCTTAAATTAATTGATTAAAGATGCCTAAGAGACCAAGAGTAATTACAGAAAAATGCAACGTTGCACCATAAAGTCACTGATCAATGGTCTTGGATGTACAGGAAAAACTAGGTTGTGTGACTGTTCTCTACATTAGGTAATCTTACCGAAAACTGATAACAGTGTATTGTATATAAACTATTTTTTGTCGCTTATTAATTATAAAACACCTAATTATCTGTCATTTGCTGACTCTCCAACCGTCTCCTTGATTAGATTTCCATCTCTTTCATGTTTTTTCTTTTCACTTATTAAGTTCCGGAATTGCACGGAATTAAGACTCAACAAGTCAATATTGTTGACTAACCGGTTTGTTGCTCACAAGATTATATAAAGTTCGATGAAAACCAAAGGCAATTCATATATACGTAGGATTATTATTATTATTATGTCGTTTTATCACGCTTGTTTTCGGAGGCTACTGATATTTACTAGCACAATGAAGTCTGTGTTCTAAAACTTCATATGTCAATTTCGTTGGTGTAAAACTTAACCTATCAGCAATATTTGCGGACCAAATCAATTCATACAGCTAAAGTGCTTAAGATGAGAAATGCCAGCTGTCTATGTTACCAGGGAGTTCTTCGAAAACAATCGATAACCAGGCGCTTCAAAAATCGAAAAGAAAATAACACTGTTTTTCAGTCTTGATCTGTTACTGGTGTCATCAATACAAATTAGCGTCTTTTCAATCACTACTAAAGTTAAAACTACCTGTCCTGGGGGTTAATTCTATTTCTCATACTTTACATTTCCCTCTAGTTGAGCGTTCTAGGGAAAATAGTCTTTTTCTCTGTAATAAGTAACACACTTGTTTATATGGATTTATATAAGAACTAAGCAAACCAGTACGCTGAAACGTGCTACCGGTAAAAAGTCTCATTGTTATTACTAGAAATCCATAAAGTTTAATGTTAATTTGACCTTAAAAAAGAATGTTTTCAGAAAAACAAATAAAATGATGACTAATTATTGTTGTTACTTTCATCAACAAAATGTTGATTTGCTGCAGTACATATAAACATCACAAAAAAAACAAAAACAAATCATATTCATTCACTATGCAATAATCAACAGTATGGTGTGGATAGAAAAGAAACAGTAATTAAAATTTGAAAAATTATGAATTTTTGTATTGTATTTTAATAAACTAGTATATTTCTATTTAAGTCAACTGTTAATTAGATTTTAAGTAAACAGAAGATATTAGTATCAGGGATTTTTGGAGATTGTGTCATTTTCTTAATTGAAATCACAGACTGACCTTAGCTGAAACCCCAGTCGAAATCTAGAAACACTGAGTGGCAATCTAATCCTAATATAGGACTCCTCAATAGTGTGGATTCACTACCCTGCATGAGGGAATCGAATCGAGGAACTTCGATCCGGTGTGGGAACGCCTAAACTCTAGTCCACTGAGCAGGAATCAAACTATATTAATGTCTAGGTTCACTCAGTCTATAGGAATAATACAATCTCTTCACAAATCCCTTATACTAACAACAGTCATATTCTCACAAGTAACTTCTTTCAGGATGTACTCTCTGGGTTTTAGTGGGAACCTCTGACCAGTCCGTGTTGGGCGGAAGAACATTATCCACCACACGCAATGGATGAAGGGTTGTGTAAGGTCATGAACTGACTGGAGTTAGATATTAACACCATTGGATTTCTGCTCGGTGGACTAGAGTCTAGGCGTTCCCACACCGGATTGAAGTTCCTGGATTCGATTCCCTCATGCAGGGTCGTGAATCCACACTATTGAGGAGTCCTATATTAGGATTAAATTGTCATCCCGTGTTTCTAGATTTCGACTGGGGTTTCAGCTAAGATCAGTCCGTGATTTCGACAATGAAAATAGGAGATATATCATGCATGACAGGTTGAATCCCTATTTTTCCGTTATGCTAAGCGTACAACCTGAGTCACTGTCATTGTTGGAATATTACAGAATTAAAGATTTATTATGTGGTAAAAGTAGAAAGTTGCAAGTTCTAGCAACTGCTTTTCAGGCATACTGATGGTTGGTAAGTGTGAATAGAACGGTCAAATTGAGGAATTTGTGGGAACTAGTTGAGTGTGAAGAAGTCTGACTTCATAGAGTAGCATAATTTGGAGAACTATTGAAAACCTGATATATCAGTTGATACGCCTGAAACTATTACGAGTTCATCTTACTCGGTAAACGGAGCGAAGAAAAGTGATGCAGTGACACGATAGGCTATTCTAATCCGCTGTCCCCGGCCCGGTTAACTATATCAAGAAGTCTTGATAAGGCGTAGAAAGTGTATTCTACAAGCATCCAGAAAATACGAGGCTGACAAGCACAAAAATCGAGCTTATCTATACATGATAGAAACGTCCTTGGTAGAGCCACAAAAATAGCTTACTAAAATAATCCATCAACCAGAGACAGTCAAGTATTGTCCGAGTGGGAAATGTAAACTTAGGGTCAACTAAGCAACTTATGCGCGAAAGCATAAAAAATCCGACTGAGTTCTGGGGGTCTAACGTCCCAAACAAAACCAGATACTACCAGTTTGAGACGTGCCAACTATGCATACCAGCTTCCCATACATAATAGAATTCATGACTTTCAGGTCAAATGACCTATTCATCACTTCCTAAACCACTGATTTAGAATCTGGTGACAATTTGTCTCAAGATACCACTTCAATTTTTTGAAATTATTCAACAGTATTCAGTTTTATTACAGGCTATCATTCTTAGCGAGTAACTTGACTATAAGTACGACTGTATCACTCAAGTAAATGAAATCGTCTAGAAGGAAATTTTCTCCGTTGAGTTCTCTTAATTCTTCTAAGAAACATAATAGGTTACTTTCATCATTGTTCATTAAATTGAAAATTAATATGTTATATACTACTTTAGTTCATTAATTTTGTTGTAGACCTGAAAAATCCATGCAAAAAATGTATACTTCGTGATGACTTTCTCGTTAAATTAGGCAAATACCACGACATCGTAATTTTCAAGTCCACTCGGCTTTCAGTGCTATAATAGTTAAGTTAAAAGCATAAATCACTTCCGAAACTAATCCTTGTATTTTACTTACCATGGAAAATTATTATTGTGAAAAGGTTACAGCTCTGTTGGATGTTATGTAGATCAGAGATACGATTTTCGATGAACCTTAACTCTATATCAATCCAAAAAATAGCATAGGAAACATACGTGTTAAGTTAGTCTTCAAAATGTTGATTACGTGACAGTCTATTTGTACTAACTAACCATACACTGCAATATTTTCTTACCATAATTTTTTAATTGTTTTTTTATATATTTGACATTTTTCTAGCTCTTCTCTCAGTAATACGCGCTCCAAACATACGATTTATGTTTATGACAGCAGCCATTTTATTATTTGTAACATTTGGAGTTATAGAATTATTAAAATTTCAATGGAATGAACAAAACCTCTGGTACATTATTCGTCTTCTTTATCGTAGAAGATTCGATCATCAATAGAAAAAACTCTGATTGTTTTTTCTTTCGGCAGGAACACATTAATTACCCTCCAATGGATCATTATTTTCGGCAGTTTGTGTTTATACTGCATTTTTAAGGTTCAGGTAGGTAATTTCTTTTCAAAGAATTATGATAATGATTCAGTGTTTAATCGAAAATACCTAGCATTTACAAATATTAATAGTTTTTTAATGTTCGCAAACAAACCATATCATTAGTTAAGATACTATTGAAAGAATTAGGTTACATTTCAGAGAAAATGTAGTAAAATTTAGGAAGTGGGACTTAAACTTCTTTATTTTCATTTGTTTAGTACATGCCTTCAAATGATTTTAATTAAAATTGAACTATCACATAAAAAGGTATCGATAAAAGTACAGAAATTATTTTGATAATGGTTAACAAAATAGCATAAATGAGTATCACAAAATTCCATTAAATTTTACCCATTTTCGCTCTGTTGATAATTACAGTCAGTTATAGTGTAATTTACTACTCAATGTTTTCTGTGCAATAAATGAAGATAAATTTGGCGTCTCATTTTGAACATGTATTTGAAAAAGAATTATAATATTTCATAATATCAAATTGTCGAGTTATCATCAACTTGAATTTTCTTTCTAATCGATACAAAAGTGATATCCTTTTTAATAGGAACAAACAGCACGTCGGTTGTACTGTCTAATAAGTTATTCTTAACACAAGTTACTCAAGATTTCCACTCATAATAAGAAGTATGATATGATTATTATTATTATTACTATTACTTCATACTATTAGCATGATGTGAATGCTTGTTTCTGTATCGTATTGATGAAAGAATCCAATAAAACACACGATATTCAATAGTATAGAGTATGGTTAAAGCTGAGAAAGTATTAGCTATTTTGGCTTAAAAACTCATTAAATTATTTTTGCAACAATCGAAAGGTGTTTGTTATAAGTAAAGTCGTTAACATGTAAAGAAATATGTCTGAATGTTTCTTTTTACCTATATCTTGTAAATTTTTCATTCATATAATTTTAACACGCACGTTATTCTATTGATATTCTGATTTTTAGATTACACAAAATACAAATATTATCAAATAATTTCAAAGAAAAAAAAATCAAATAACATGTATTATATGACATTGTTATGCTTATTTCATTAGCCTGCCGTTTTCATTGTACATTACTATTATTTCTTATTGGTGTTTTTCTTCCTTTGTTTTTTCGATTTCAATAAATAAATTTCAAAATTAATCTGATAACAATTTGAATATAAATTCATTGAATATTTACTTGAAAATGGATGATTTATTTGATATGCAATTTATTTATATTCTAAAGTGTCATCATTAACTAAGAAGCATTTATATTTCATGCAGACTATCAATTAATTGTTAGAGTATACAGTGTCTAGTCTTAAGTTTCTGTCTAAATTAATTTCCATCTAATAGATTAGTCAGATTGATTGAAAATAAAGTTATACTGAGTCAAAAATCTTCTATATTACATTAAAGTAGCGTCTATAATTTAAAAAATATGTTCTTAGAAAAAAATTCCATAATTTGATGATTTCTAGCTTGATCATTTGCCATTTTCATCGAAATCTTCAAAATGACAAGTTTCCTATATTAGATAGGACATCAAGGGAGTGAACTAATTATAGTAATTTAATTTTGTTGATTTTATTATTTCCATACTGGATGTTATAAGGAATTGTTTCATCCATTCAGTAATATTGACTGTATCATCCTTCGACCCACTAATTTTTCTATGCTTAACCACGATGTAAGTATTTCCCACTTTAACTTTCGTTGAACGTTTGTAGTGACCGAATTTAATGTATTTGCGAGCGAAAAGACTAAATATAGATTATCCGTTTGGTTGTGACAGTACATGAAACTAAAAATGTAGTATGGGTTGTGTTACATACACTTTTGGTGAATAACTTATCGTTCTTGATCTTTCGTAGAAGCCTAGTTGCGGTACTTTTAAAATGATCGATTCTTAGTACACATAGAACACTAGTTTTATTTAACTGGCTTCTTAATAAGTCATTCTAGATTTTTCAGTTTTTCATCGTCAGCCTTGAGAATATCTGAGAGATTTAATTGAGTTGCATCATTTCTGAATCATGTCAATAATCTCAGGTTGACATTTTTATCCATTTTTAGATAAAAAAAATTATCTGTCAATAAAGATGTTTTAAATTTTACATTGAGGATTAAGAGTCGATACATTTTCTACAAGATTTTTCGAGTTCTATCATTGACTTTTAAGTGGTCTATGAACAAACACAACTGCTTTCATTAGAGAAGATATCACTCACTTTCATGATGATAATAACTGTAAGAACAGTTTTAAGTGATTACGATAACTTCGCCAGTGTTATCTAATCAATATTTTAATTTATCCACTCTCTTTCAGTATGATCATCTTTAAGAGTTCTGTGTCACACCTTTTGTATGGCATCATGAATTAATATGTAATGATTATTTATTTCTTGTTGTAAATACATGCGATCCATTGATTACTGTAATATTATATATTTCTGTCATGCATGTTTTAATCTACTTAAAATTGATCAAATATCAATAATTTTTGATTATCATAAATATATCGTAGTAAACATCGGAAACCCGATATTATATAGCTTAATTAGAATGTTTCTCATATGCTACTTAGTTCTGTATTGAAGTTTCACAGACTAGTTATCGTGTTAGATGGTTAATCTCTAGGATATAGCATTTGAAAGCTATTATTTATGATTTTCTAATTACTTAACTACTAAATTCCTTCTTAGAATAAAATCTATGTAATTAGAACCACATGCTGTTCATATATATATATATATATATATATCTATATTTTATCAAATATTTCATCAGAAATATAAAGTCTTACATCCGGACTAGGCGGTGGTGGTTTAATCAACATCGGTAAGGAACCGAAATGATGATCTTGAGCAGTTTTATCAAAAGAATTACTTTTCAACATATTTCTGTGCCAGTGTTTTTCTTTTGAGAAAGAGTCACGTATTTGTGGTAGAAAAGATTTTACTTTTGGCTTCAAGGTGATCAAATCAACTGAATTCAAAAATTTGTATTTTTCTGGATAGACGTAGTTTCTTTTAAAATTGTTTTGACTTTCGTTGTCTTGATATAAGTTTTTACGACATGAAACAGAACCTATTGTATACAAACGCTCAATATAACCTGGATGACGTCGACTAGACCAGTAGGAGTTATTAAATCGATTACTACTGGTGCCATCACTATTTCTCTCATATTTATCTTCCGTTGGCCTTGACAGCTGAACTTCTGAAGTATCATTGTTAACATTCATCTTGTTGTATACATTACTAACATTTTCTAAAAATACAATAAGACAATTAAAATTATAGGTTAGCTATCATTTTGGGAAATTTACATACATAAGAAAATATGCAGACTCTGCTTCTCTAAAAATCGTTATTAAAACCAAGTCTCAGAGTACTACCTAAAAGTTGTTTTTTCAACTTACCATGAAAACCTTATATCAGAAACAAATAAAACTTCTTATTGATAAATAACATTGGTTCGAAAGTTGAATAGTTTTGTTTAAAGTAGTTAGCTTATGTTGAACAGTCATTTTGTGATTAGAATATCTTGGATATAGGTGTATGATTCATCTAATGTTATTTAGGTATTAGTCAACTACATTCTTCCCATTCTCTCTTACTGAGGATTGCCTAAAATCGTATGTCGTGGTTTGTTTTATTTTATTGCTTTTGAAAACAAGTGTTCGACAGCCCATGTGTTCAATATTTTAAACGTAGGTTAGTTTTATGAAACGTTTCAGTGATCTGATTTTGATGAAAGCTGATAAGATCCACCTAAACCACTTCCTACAGACTGATCCTAAAAATTTAGCTCTGGACAAATGACGTTTTATTTAATGTTTTCAAGGATTCGATTATCGGTAACAGGTTTTCAAACACTACTTTATCTACGGTTTTTAGTGAAAGTATATCTAAATATATGATATGATAAATAGAGGAAACCAAATAAAAGAGGTCGAAAGTCAAAACTTGAATTGTTCGAAAAGATAAATCTTATCTACTATAACACTGTTGGTCAACTGTTTTAGTAACATAACTAAGGTTTAACAAATCGCATCAGCATCAGGCAAATAAAAAAGAGACTCTGCAAAGCACTATCGACTAATAAAGCGGTAGTAAGTTAAACTCTGCTACTCTGAATGGAAGAATCATTTGAATCAAAGGATAAATATGTGATTAGTTAACCAGTATAATATTTACTGATAATCTCATTTCTAAAAGCACATTCACTACACTTCCTTCTTTAGTAAAATTACATGCAATAGAAATTATAGTTGCAAGTGTGGATGATAACCAACCTGACTCCTCCTGAAGCCCTTTTAGGGTTACTGGTAGCCCCAAGCGTAAATAAAGGGGGAGGGTTGGGCATAGAGTTAGTGACCACATCTCGTAGAAATCCAACTTGCTAAAAAAGAACACTTGCGTATGCTCGATTAGGGATAACAGGCGTTCTACCGAATAATATTCAATAAATAAAGTAGGCAAATGGTCCACTCTTAGGAACAGTTGTAACTAATCTAGTTGATTAACTGGTACATTTTAGTAACTATTGTTAAACAATAGAGAAATTAGAAATCATAACTAATTCTATATTGATGCATCTTTTGAAATTTAATTTTAACATAACAGTTTATCATTCATAAGGTTGAGTAAATTAATTCTCTATAGAAAGCGACTTTTTTCTCTCCTATTAAGCATGGCATTACATAATATTTCATTTAGTTCATAGAGTATGGTATGTTAGAAATAAGATAAGGAGGAGAGCAGTTACAAGTGTAATACAAAACAATTTATCAGAACATTTATTTCATATATTTTTATTGCTGTTGTCATAACCTCCTCATATAAGCAAGGAGTATAGGTTTACACTGAAGACTCAGAAGAATTTTTAATTATTTCTAAGAATGATTTCTTAAAATCGAATGTTTTATTTCTTGTGTTTGAATATTCAAATTGATATTTGTTAATCTTTTATCTTGTCTTTCATGAAGTGTTTTTTTGTAGATCACTAGTCAGTGATTAGCCGTAGGCTATTTTCAATAGCCCTATTTATGATATTCAAGACTATGTTTCATCTGTTTTGAAAACAATCATGTAGTTTCCTTGAACGCATTCTTCAGTATGATTTGCTCTCTCAGTTCAAAAATACCATGCGGACTAAGATATATGTGACAATCTTCCACCAACTTAACTGATAGGATTATATTGTTGAGTTCATTCAGTGGAATACAGTGTAATCTGTGAACCCTTATCTGTTTGAATCAAATAAATGAATTGTTTATTTCAGTTAAACAGAATCTTCCGGTTTACTTCATGTAAATTCTAAAAAGAAAAACCTCTTAACCTATATAATGAACGGGACCTATCGGAAGTTTAAGTATTTCGAATGTCTTTTTATTAATTACTGAGTTGTAATATATGTCATTTTTATTTCATCTTTAAAGTTGACTTGATTCTGCCCACTGAGTTCCTACTACGGCTACTGGTCTAAGTAATTTTGACGCTGGATTTTTAAACACCTCTATTATAGTTCACAGTGAATTAGCTTGAAAAATTTAGCTGCATTCTTTAGATTTTGGAACACTGTTAGCACAGACAACTAAATGTAGTTATTCATTAGGCACTTTATATGTAATTTACCAATCTTAAGATTTAATTTCAATTCATCCATAGTTTGTTTTGAATCATTTGAACAGAGTTGATCATTTTTCAATTGTTGGTTTTTATTCGATACATGGTGAGTTTTTTGCCTACGAAGTATTCTCCCAGGCATTGTCTGCCATACAGCTACTGACGTTGAACAATCTTCAATTGAACCATTTATATGAGATAATGAATTCTGCTTCTCTACTGAAAAATAAAATAAAATAAACAGTACCCAATAAAGTTTTTCTAATAGTGGCTCAGCATGACTCATGTAGAGTACAGACTTATGTATGAAGTATCAATGACAGAAAATAAAATAAAGACGGTGTTATATTTTGGCTATTTTTTTGAATAATTTACGTTATTATTATATACCAGTTAAAAGTGAATATTGCTTATTTATTTATGCGATGTTCAGAAATTTGGGGCTTCATCAAACTGTTTAACACTAAACGTTTACGATAAAAGCAGTATTTATTCGCTAGAAATGGCTGACTGAAAGGTTCCTGGGATACTTGCGTGTCTGTAGTATCATACACGGATGATTATAGGGATTTAAAATAATTAAGAAATGCTATTAAATTCAAGCAATCATTGAGCTTTCAAGAATGTGTTTATTCATTATTCTGTCGGTGACATTAGACATAAATAAAGAGAAGCCATTTAATGAACTCTTGAATGGTTCATTCATTAGTTTCTATAAATCAAAAACCATACATGTACTATATGACCTCTGTAAGAAGTTATTGCAAAGCAAAATTGATGACAGCGTCAAAAATTGACTACACTAGCAGTGATCATAAAAAGTACTCAAATAGAATGTTCATAATTGCTAGAACGCTTGAAAACTTTCGGCATTTAATTGGAATAATGGATTCGATTACTGTTTTTATTACACTTTTTTCAATTAAACTAGTTGAGTAGATATGAGTTTTTATAAGAGTTTCTAACTTTCAATTATATCACTAGTGATTGATCAGATTTATCTCATAAAATTTCAACATTAAGAAATTGATCTGTCCATCAGTATCTACACTTTATCGAACAATAAATACTTGTAATCATCAATCAATCATTGTTAGACCACTATTAGAAACTTGGAAGCTCTGGACGGCCGTTTTGTTCTAGTATGGGACTCCTACACCTCGCAGGACTCGAACCCGGGACCTTCGGTCTTGCGTGCGAACGCCTAACCTCTGGAACACTGGACCAGCCTCACCCATTTGGCGTTGGTAGTTACTGCCTACAACCGACAGGGCTGAACTAGGAGAAATGATATACAAATTATAAATAATACTGTAAAGCCGCTTAAACGTAGATAACTTGTAATTTATATTCATATCCTTTTGGTAAAAAATCTAATCCGGAGAAATAAAAAGGAATTTGGTGAATCTTACTTAGATTTTTCGGTTGTATTACATCATCAGAGTAATTTTCTTGGCTAGATGAAAGTGGAAACAATTCATAACTTGTTTCTTTCAACTCTGAATTGTTATGTAATGAAGATGACCAGTTAATTGGTGATGTATAACATCGGTTCATGTAGAAACTTAGTATATTATCAATAGAACTTGTAGTATAGTGAGTAGTTGGTTTAAATGTTTCCAATTTGGATTGTTCAAATGGTAGCAGATCAGCTAATAAATGTGATTTTGCTTTTAATTCATCTTGTTCCTGAGTAATATAAGTAAAAAATTTAAGAAAGTATTATTTTAATTGATGTAAAAATTGGTGGTCATTCAATGAATATTGGTGTTATGTCTTTTTATTCTATGCGCACTAAGTAACAACAGATCCTTAAGTGAGCACAGTATTAAATGATATATTATCGATCGATTCAATTGTTAATGTGTACATCAACTTAATACCATGTATACTTGTCGATTTAAACTTACAAGTCTAAAATTAAGGAACAGACACCAAGTGCAGGAGTGAAACTTGACAACTAGATCTGTTCTACAATTTTAAATGGTTTGGCACTTGCTTTATATGGGTCTAGAAGTTGATGAGTTGTTCAAAAGGATCAAAGATCAATTACTTAAAAGATTTCGTCCGTAAAAATGTCCGAAATTATTAAAATTGCATAAAATGAAGTAAATTTAAGTGATTACTGACAACCTCTGGTGGTTTTCCTGATGGCTTCTTAAGATAAGCTTATTTTAACGAAACGGACCATTCATACATTGCGTGAATCATTATCTTGTCACATGAATAATCACGTATTTTTATTAAAGTTTACAAAAAAACATCAGAATACAAATAAATGTGATATTATTTGTGAGGAGATATTCTCAGAGAAAGGTGTAATTAATCGGTTTACCATTTTAGATTCATGTAGAAATGTTAATTATGAAACATATTTTCTTGATGACTACTCTTTTTATTTTAGTAATATAAAACAAAAACATTAAAATTCTAAACAATCAGACATACTTGGATTGGAGAATCAGCAACTTTTCTTTTATCATGTCCAGAACGCTGATATTTTAATAGTTCATTTAAGAAATATGGTTTAGTATGTTGATGTTGATCCAGACTTACTGTGTTCATTTTCAATGATTCATTCAAAGAAATAAGTTTTTGATTTGGTATGACGAGTTCTCGAGTGAATGGACTAAAATAATTAAATCACATTTAGAGAAAATAACACGTTTCAGTGTTTGATTATGAAATTTTTCAGTGAAAATAAAAATATTTACTATAAAGTACTTGTCATCAAAAAAATCTTTTATATTGTTTGCTTATCTTAGACTGAGATCGAGCTCCTATACCTTGGTTTCATGCTTTCATTTCAATAAATGTCACATGAGGTTTTGTGAAAATCTATGAAATCTAAATTATACCAATCTGTGATATTTCATTCTCAGAGTCAAATTATTTTTTAATATAATTCATACAAACTATATTAAATTAATTTTAAATATAGTAGCCGTGATACGTACAAAGTGTAATATGAAGACACTTGAACTTAAAAGACTTACATTAATATGGTCAAAGGATGAGATGATTTTAATTACTGGATTAGTTTGTGTTATTAATACTGCCTCACTAAAATGATTCATTATTCCAGTCTCTGGTATACTTTATAAGCAAAGAAATTGCACAATATTTTTCCTGCTGAAATCTATGTACTACATTGATCATAAAATTAGCGTCTGTCTGGTCATGCTGTGTGCTGCCTAATGCTTCAAAAACAAACCACATTGTTATTAGTTTCATTTGCATAGAATTAGGAAATATAACCCCACGATGGTAATCAGTTCATAGTCAAATATAATGGGTAAACTTATGATAGTCTTATAGATATTTTATGAATACTATTGAAGTCTGAGATCAATAGTGTTTTATCCAATGGCAGCCAAAATCATTATCTCCAAGAATCTGTTGAATGATATTGCCTGTTAATTAATGTTGTGGGCTGGTAGCTCAGTAACTGGATCATTTGACTTTCAGTCTTAAGGTCACGTGCCCGAATTCTGCCTCGACTAGCCCGATTTCGACAGCTGGATTGTATAGTTAACCTTTAAGCACAGTATATGCTTCGAAAGAAAGTACGCATATATATACCTGGGAAATAACTATTCACCAAAATAACTTTTATTTCAAATGTTAATGAATGGAATAAATAGCCAGGAATTCACAAGTTTAAAGTCGTTAAAACCCAATGGTGAGTCTTATTTTGTCCGAAATAATGTGCGAGTATTTAAGACAAGACACAATTATTTGTCAATATATTCCAACTGTGAGTGATAGCGAGATCCAGGACGTTGTATTTACAAGCTCAGGGTACTTACATTTGTCGATCATCTCCATAAAAATCGTATCCATCTTTTGGTAGTTTCGTCAATGAAACCTTATTATCAGTTATTTGTTTTTCTGACCTGCTATTCAGTTCAACATTACTTATGTCAGGGCATAATATTAAACTTCCTTGACGAATATGTCGACGTATTTGTGCTCGAGCCAAGGGTACCAATCTTGCTCTTAAAGCTTTATCACTTATATGACAGGATATCATCCATCGTGGCTAAAATAATAAATGTATTATAAAATAAACATTCAACTATAATTTGAACTGATAATATCATGCAAATAACTGGTAATTATTGAGTTCTAATATACTTATTTTAAAATATCACTCATAGGACTAATCTTCTTAATCTTAAAAATATCTTAGTTATCTTAATAGATGGCTTCTTAGAAGTGATTAGAGAACATAAATTTGTTTAGAAAAATAATGATTCATCAAAATTCTGGTTATTTAGATTGAAGTTAGTAAGCACTAATTATATTAATTCTAATTTCTGTTATGCACGTTTTTATAATGAAAGTGAATATTGCGCCGTCATATTTGATTGATTCCAATCATTCACAGACATTTTGGTTAAAAAAATTTCGGTGAATTGAAAAATTTATCTGAATAATGATGTGTGAAAAGTAAAATAAATCAAAGCTTTTATAATATATATGACTTCAGGTAATACAAAGATTGATTTTAAAATTACTCAATATTTTATTTAAAAAAAGTGCATTATTTGACAAGCACATATCGATTCGTCAGATTCGGCAATAAAATATTAATAGCTTCTCGTAAATAAAATAAATAGGTTTTATTTGTTAAACAATCTATGTTCCCTGCTAAGTAGACAAGCTATGCATTCAAATGACAGTTTTATTTACTTCTCATTATCCGATCCTTACAAGTCACTATGATGACTTCATTGTTGATAGTTTTTAAATTTGAAAATAAGTCGTATTTAAGCTATTTTTCAATTTCCTTGTGTTATTGACATTATGAAGGAATCTTGACGGTAGATTTTTGAATTTTTCTATCATTTCCCAAGTTCGTTTGTTAATTTAGTATAGTTGTTAACTCTGATCGGTTTGTATATTTAAATCATCAAGCTTCATTTCAAATGGAAGACTATATATGATATTATGTTTCTCATACTGATAGTATAACGTTATTTTACTGAAACATATCAAATATCGTTACACTGGCATTATTCACTCTAGATATAATGTACTTTAAATACTGATTACCGTATCTAGCTAGCTCTTTTCTAAATAAGCTATATTTACCACATATCTCACTCATTACCTTTTATAATTAATAAGTAGTTTAAACTGTCTGATATGATGGATTGCAGACTAATCTGCATTTGAATTCAATAAAGTTTAGAAAGTTAATTATCAGTAAACTGAATAATAATAGATTATGCTTGATTTAAGTCAATCAGACTATGAAATCTAGTAATTAATTAGAATTAATCTGTTTAGAAAGGGAAAATTTTCAGCTTACCATACAAGGAACTTCTTCTGATATATCAAGTTGTTCATTTCTTTTTATTTTGTCATCACTAACCAAAGTTTGATTTTTTAGTGACTTTTGTTGTACAAATGAATGACATTTTTCTGGTTTTGATGCCAACATAAATAATAGATTGCCGTTGCCTTTCGGTTTAGACCTTTTTCGTCTAAAAAACGAAAACATTTTTATGATGGCAAAATTAAATAAACACAATTATTTCACTGCTAATGTTCAAATCAAGAGATTTTGTGAGAAAAAGAGAAACATATTATCAAGCCAAATAACCGTATCTGTATAACGATTGAATAGTTTCTAAAAAGCTAAAGTATGTAACAGCTTTTTCATTAAAAATGTTAGTTTTTAGTAGTACAATTCTGGTATCTGATCCAGGGAATTAATATTTAGTAGGAAAATTTAAATAAGTCTACTGATCGATTAAAATCTCAAAGATTGTAGGAAACCATTTCTCTTTTCTATTGGAATAATCACTAAAATGTTAGCAAACGAAAATTGATTATCATAAAAATCACAATGGATTTAAGTGGTTAACAGGTGCTTAAAGTAAAAAATGTATGAACTAATAGATCAAATTATGTAGTCAAAAAGATTCAATATTTCTCAAAATGAAAGCAGTTTTGATACATTCACAATGTACACATTGAAGTAAAGATTGGCCCACGAACACGAGGAAACAATAAGTATTCAATAATACTTACTTCATTGGTTTATTTTCTGACCTGTCTAACGTCTTTGATGGTAACCAGACATAAGGAGGTTTTAACTGACTTTCCTCTCCTGTCTGATTCCACAGGTTCAATTGATCTTTAATTAAATTCAAAGCAATTAAATGTTCGCCTGATTTCTTTTCTTGGTCTTCATCAATCTTAATATCTTCTTGATTATCTGCGTTTATTATTTCACCTTCATTTTTTGTATCCTCAGTATGAGTTGCTTTTAATTTTTTCTCCATAAAATAAGCATAATTCGTTAATCTTGGATCTATGAAATTAAAAAAGACAATAATGATTTTTTGAATTAAATTAAATCATTAAATATTTAAGAAGTATGAGATACGAATTTTAACCACTGTTATTTTGGTGCTTTGATGCAAAACACTTGGTGAGTTTTACTGACTAGCAAATAAATAATTATAAGACCAAATCTGAGATTGCACATCCCACTTAAAAATTAGCTTTGTATGATTGCACCAGTCAGCTGGGGGGGGACCTCACTTCATCTTTCATTAACTAGAGCCTTTTACTCATGTCATTTTGTGTTTAACTCATACTCTTTACTTACTGTTAGTAGTATTCATATTCTTTGGTATAAGTTACATTTTACTTATCAAATATAATCAAGGCGACCTAAAGTGTTTTTTAAAAACATTAATTTAATAGACGGGGCATGTAAGTGTTATGTTAAATAAAAGAAAGTATAAATACTTAGCTTTTATAATCAAAACTAAGAATATAAGAGCATTTTCATAAATCACTCAAATTGATGATCAACTCGTTTGAAACGAACTGTAAGCATATAAAAATGTGATGATATACTATTGGCAATAACACTCATTGATTCAGTGTTTATCTGTTCGTTGTAAGTTGGACAAAAATCTAGAAGGAAATACACGGTTTTTGTCGTAGAGGAGTTTTGATTTACGTCAAGATAATTTTCTGAAAATGTTCAACCTTCTTTCAAATCAATGTTTTAAACTTACTTCCCGGTGATTTAATCTCGTTGTTTCTATTATTTTATGATTAACATTTTAAGTTTTGTAGTTAATTTGTTAGATTTTCATCCAATGAAGCAAATGTGTCACTTCTGAATTGTCATGGTTTCAGTTATTTTACATTAAGATCCATTCTTACTATTTCATTTTCTTTTATTCCGAAAACAGATTAGATGAATGCTTTTTCTAAATCTAACACTCTTATTTCGATCACTAATAATAATGCGCATGTAACTACTATAAATTTAACGGTTTGTCAGATGTCTGTAGATCAGAATACAGAGAAAAATTACTTCTAAAGAGTTTTCCACCAAGACTAATTTTTCTTTGGTTTACATTTAAAGGTTAAGTGTATACAGATGATGGTATTTATCTTACTTCTGAAGTATGCATCAGTAAAAACTAAAGCTTTAGGAATGAAATAAACTTAAATTGTACATTTTCCATTTTATCGAAATCATTCATCAAACAGTGGACCCTGAGATTAAACTATGATTGATTTTTACCACTGAAGGTTTTTCGTACAGAAGGATGGCTAAGATAAACATTCGGAGTTGAACCGAGAGAAAATACCTGTTTCAGTTAAATAATTCTTTGATATTGGTTTTAAATATGAACAAGACAGAGGGAAGCATTATCGAAAGTTATATTATGATTGTAGCTAATATTTGTGACAAGTTAATAGGTTGTTATTTTTATTAAAACCATTAACATAGTACATATATTTATGGTCAGAATTTACAGTTTTATAACTCATTTACATATAATTGATTCATCACTGAGCGTGCGAAAATAACTTCAAAATTCTGCTACAAGTACATGATCTACTTGAATGTAGTTAGTCTTTAGAATTTCCAATATTTCACAAGTGTGCTTCAACCAACAGTTTGTCATTGCTCCTTTATCAGTGGATAAGTGTTGTATATTAGGGAAGTAGAGATTTAGTGTTTTCACGATATTCATGTTTTCTATCTGGCATACTAGACCTCACTATGTGGAAGAGTTAATAATAACTGCAGATACCTGGATTTAAGTCTTCAATGAAAACTACACTCTAATATACAACACTCATTCACCAAGTGAAAGAAAATCAATTAAAGTGCTGTCTACGACAGATTTATTGATTACTAAAAATATTGAGAGTAACCTCAACCCTATTTTATCAATATGGTTTACATAAGACATTATCATTTAGTAATAACAATAGACTACACTTGTATTCAATAATTTTATGACATTTAATTGCACGAACAAATTTAACTGTCTAAGAGTTCATTTCATGTGATATAAAAATAGACAAACAAGAACTTACACTTAAAACTATATTGTGAATCAGAAAATATTGACTGCGCCAATGAATCATAAATTAATTGATGTGGAATATCTGTAAAGTTCATATTCTCTTGATTGAAGTTTTTTTACCTGAATTTTTAATACGTTTCCATAAGCAATTTTTTGATTTAAACATAAGAATTCCATTCATTAATTTCCTTATCGTTTCCCAACATGATGGATGACAACAATTTGGTGAATTACAAATGTAATAATTTGCTACGTTTGTAACAGTACACATTTTGTAGTTAACTTATAGATAATAATTTTGAAATATGATTATTGTATTAATTAATTTGAAATTTCAAACTATAACACTGATAAATTTCAATTTTTACCAATGAACTTCTTCTTAGGTTAAATAACCTATAGTAATGGTAGAAGTTACATTTTCTGACAAATCAGTTTTTTTTTTTGAAAGTATTGTGTACCTAATTTTTTATTTTATTTTAAACGTTTGAATCGATTATCAGTTTATTTAATCCGAGATTTTCACAAATTTATTCGTATGACCTTATACTTGTAAAATTATTAATTACCTATTGTTAAACGAAAATCTTTCTGCAGAGAAATAAATTACTTTCTTTTAAATGTCACTTAGAATTAAGAAATGATCTTTGTTTAATAAATCTTTCCTCGTAGTTCAAGCTTTCTTGAAAGTTGTTTAATTTTCATTGTACTTATTGTTTATCCTATCATCTAATCAATTGATAATGCTATAAAAATGAAAATAAGTCGAAATCCAAAATAACCAGTGTAGTAGATATAATTAGCCTAAGAAAACAGTGCTGACAAGCTGAAATACACAGTTATCGCGTTCATCTTGTTGTTATACTAGAGAATAATCGTTTTCAAAATCTTAACCACTATTTACGAAATACGTTGGTTCTGATTTGGAAGAAAAAAATAAATTTGAAAGCTTTCTGCTGATACTTAATGATTGTGCAAACTTGTTAATACCAGCCAACGAAATAAATAACAACAGTATTTATAAAACAAATGTTTTGATATAAAGAATATTTTATAATTAAATTCCTTCATATTTATATATATATATATATATATATATATATATATATATCATTAATGTTTTGAATGAATATTACTCAGTCAATCAATTAGTGAATGCTGCCATTGAAGTACCGAAGGTAATATTAATAAATCTGTTGAATATTTGGATTTCACATTTCTTGTTAGTATATGTGAAAAAAATTTTTCGAACTATAATTATATTAACAGCATCATTAATTTTATTATGCACAATGAATATTACTCAATATTAAAGTTAAAATAAATTCATAAGCAGCCCTCTGTCAAATAAACTTATATGAGATTTCATAAAAAACATCTCAAAGTTCAGTAGTGATTTAAAAACTACGTAAGATGTTCAATAAGATCTGTGAAGAAACTGTCTGATTTCAAACCGTTTTCTCACCTATCGAATGAATTTTACAGTTATTTCAAAAATAAAAATTCTTTAAATTTGCAAAGGCAGCAGTCTGTCCAGGTGTATGATTCGCATTGTCTCACAGGCTAGGTATGCGGTTCGTGCGAACGCAGTGGACGGTAGTGAATGTGGAGTGGCAAATAAACAGTATGTCGCTGCCAGGATTCGAACCTGGGTTAGTGCGGCCACAACGCAATGTCCTAACGACTAGACCACAGCGACGATGTCGCTGCGCTCACATCAACCTCCCATAACACACATCACATCTCCATCACACACTCACGCCCACACCAACCACTAACCCCACTCAACCAATCAATCAATCACTCGCTCACACAACCAACCACACACACACACACACACTCACACATCAACACTCTCTCAGAGTCTATCCGCCGAACCGAACATTTCGCATACGTCTCACTCACTTTCATCGCACCATCGACAATCTCAATCATTTCCAACTATAACACCGAAACCAACAAATTCGCAACACCAACACTAACACAAACAGCCTCAGCTGCAGCTGCAGCTGCAGCAGCACCAGCACCAGCACCAGCAACTACTGCAACTGTGTGTCAATAAGAACAACCACAGCAACAAAACAACAAAGACAAAATATACCAACTACGACTACTACGTCCACAACAAATTCAACAGCAACATCCACGACCGCTGACTCGACAGATTTGCACCAAACACTACAACACCAACTTCCACACCTGCTCAGTCCGCATCCACATCGACCACAGCCACGTTGACACTCACCTGTGGAAGTGAGTCACGTCGAACCAATGTTTCGCCGACTGCCTCGTTCGACAGGATGCATTGATCGGTCGATGGTTGCATGACGGAGTAGATGTGCACATCTCGAATCGGTGCTCCCCGTCTGTTGTTGTGAGCAGGTCGAACTCACGGCAAGCAGTGCAGGTTGATTTGCACAGTGAAACCACTACGCACTCACCTGGTGACGAATGGTGAACAGATGCTTGTGATTCGCCAGTCGAATGCACACATGTCGAGTGAAATGACAATCACGTGACATGTACTCCAGGTGAGATGCGGTCGAACAACGACTGACGTGCAGTGCAGGCTGGCCGAAGTGTATAATCGAATGCGGTCTACAACTTGTGTCGGTGCCTCGGAACACCGGTGTCGGTGGAGATTCTGTGGAAGTGGAAGTGGAAGTGGCAATAGTAGATTGATGATTGGTTGGGGGTGAAGTGCAGTGGTGAGTGTGTGGTTGGTGCGAACGCAGTGGACGGTAGTGAATGTGGAGTGGCAAATAAACAGTATGTCGCTGCCAGGATTCGAACCTGGGTTAGTGCGGCCACAACGCAATGTCCTAACGACTAGACCACAGCGACGATGTCGCTGCGCTCACATCAACCTCCCATAACACACATCACATCTCCATCACACACTCACGCCCACACCAACCACTAACCCCACTCAACCAATCAATCAATCACTCGCTCACACAACCAACCACACTCACAAACACACACATACACACTCACACATCAACACTCTCTCAGAGTCTATCCGCCGAACCGAACATTTCGCATACGTCTCACTCACTTTCATCGCACCATCGACAATCTCAATCATTTCCAACTATAACACCGAAACCAACAAATTCGCAACACCAACACTAACACAAACAGCCTCAGCTGCAGCTGCAGCTGCAGCAGCACCAGCACCAGCACCAGCAACTACTGCAACTGTGTGTCAATAAGAACAACCACAGCAACAAAACAACAAAGACAAAATATACCAACTACGACTACTACGTCCACAACAAATTCAACAGCAACATCCACGACCGCTGACTCGACAGATTTGCACCAAACACTACAACACCAACTTCCACACCTGCTCAGTCCGCATCCACATCGACCACAGCCACGTTGACACTCACCTGTGGAAGTGAGTCACGTCGAACCAATGTTTCGCCGACTGCCTCGTTCGACAGGATGCATTGATCGGTCGATGGTTGCATGACGGAGTAGATGTGCACATCTCGAATCGGTGCTCCCCGTCTGTTGTTGTGAGCAGGTCGAACTCACGGCAAGCAGTGCAGGTTGATTTGCACAGTGAAACCACTACGCACTCACCTGGTGACGAATGGTGAACAGATGCTTGTGATTCGCCAGTCGAATGCACACATGTCGAGTGAAATGACAATCACGTGACATGTACTCCAGGTGAGATGCGGTCGAACAACGACTGACGTGCAGTGCAGGCTGGCCGAAGTGTATAATCGAATGCGGTCTACAACTTGTGTCGGTGCCTCGGAACACCGGTGTCGGTGGAGATTCTGTGGAAGTGGAAGTGGAAGTGGCAATAGTAGATTGATGATTGGTTGGGGGTGAAGTGCAGTGGTGAGTGTGTGGTTGGTGCGAACGCAGTGGACGGTAGTGAATGTGGAGTGGCAAATAAACAGTATGTCGCTGCCAGGATTCGAACCTGGGTTAGTGCGGCCACAACGCAATGTCCTAACGACTAGACCACAGCGACGATGTCGCTGCGCTCACATCAACCTCCCATAACACACATCACATCTCCATCACGCACTCACGCCCACACCAACCACTAACCCCACTCAACCAATCAATCAATCACTCGCTCACACAACCAACCACACACACACACACACACACTCACACATCAACACTCTCTCAGAGTCTGTCCGCCGAACCGAACATTTCGCATACGTCTCACTCACTTTCATCGCACCATCGACAATCTCAATCATTTCCAACTATAACACCGAAACCAACAAATTCGCAACACCAACACTAACACAAACAGCCTCAGCTGCAGCTGCAGCTGCAGCAGCACCAGCACCAGCACCAGCAACTACTGCAACTGTGTGTCAATAAGAACAACCACAGCAACAAAACAACAAAGACAAAATATACCAACTACGACTACTACGTCCACAACAAATTCAACAGCAACATCCACGACCGCTGACTCGACAGATTTGCACCAAACACTACAACACCAACTTCCACACCTGCTCAGTCCGCATCCACATCGACCACAGCCACGTTGACACTCACCTGTGGAAGTGAGTCACGTCGAACCAATGTTTCGCCGACTGCCTCGTTCGACAGGATGCATTGATCGGTCGATGGTTGCATGACGGAGTAGATGTGCACATCTCGAATCGGTGCTCCCCGTCTGTTGTTGTGAGCAGGTCGAACTCACGGCAAGCAGTGCAGGTTGATTTGCACAGTGAAACCACTACGCACTCACCTGGTGACGAATGGTGAACAGATGCTTGTGATTCGCCAGTCGAATGCACACATGTCGAGTGAAATGACAATCACGTGACATGTACTCCAGGTGAGATGCGGTCGAACAACGACTGACGTGCAGTGCAGGCTGGCCGAAGTGTATAATCGAATGCGGTCTACAACTTGTGTCGGTGCCTCGGAACACCGGTGTCGGTGGAGATTCTGTGGAAGTGGAAGTGGAAGTGGCAATAGTAGATTGATGATTGGTTGGGGGTGAAGTGCAGTGGTGAGTGTGTGGTTGGTGCGAACGCAGTGGACGGTAGTGAATGTGGAGTGGCAAATAAACAGTATGTCGCTGCCAGGATTCGAACCT